AAAATAACAAGAATAAGTTTATACCAGTAAAATTCAAAACTTAGATAAAATAGATTTCTAGAAAAATATAACTTACTCAAAAAAGATGTTTGAAGATATCTTACTAATGGAAGATATTAATAATAGTGGAAACTAGGAGAGGGTATATGGAAATTGTCTATGCTATCTTAACATTTCTATACATCTAAGACTATTGAAAAGTAAAAAATATATATATTAAAAATCAATCAACAGGGACTTCTCTGGCAGTTGAGTGGTTAAGACTCCGTGCTCCCAAATCGGGAGGCACAAGCTTGATCCCTGGTTGGAAAACTAAGATCCTGCATGCTGCAGGCATGGGCCAAAGTTTTTTTTTTTTAATCAAGCAATCAATTAATATAATTCACTGCATTAAGGGAAAAAATGGAGAAAAATCATTACCTCACCAGGTATAGAAATGGCATTGGATAAGATTCATCCTTCATTTACAATAGATCTTTTAAACTAGGTTTAGAAAGGAGTTCTTTAATCTGACAAATGTACCTGTGAAAACCTATAGCAAATATCATATGTGAAATATTGAAAGCTTTCCTTAGTGATTGGGAATAGACAAGGATGCCAGCTATCAAAACCTCTTTATAATATCTTATTAGAAGTTGTAGCCAGTACAGTAAGGCAATAGAAAGAAATGCAAGGTATAAAGATTGAGGAGGAAGGAACAAAATGATCGTTATTTATAGATTTATAGATCATTATTTATATGATTATATATAGAGGAAATTTAAAAGTTTATAGATTATTTATTAGAATTATTAGAAATGTTAATTATTAAATTATTAATTTATTAGAATTTATTAGAATTGTTTATTTATTAAACAGATGTAGCAGAGCTGCTGGATACAAAGTCAGAAAGCAAAAATCACTGTATTTCTATTTGCCAGCAACAAACAAAATGAAATTTTTAAAAAGATGCCATTGACAATATCATTCCTAGCAATAAATCTAACAAATAATGTGTGATACCTCTAAGCAACAAACTAAACCATTATTAGAGAAATTAAAGGACATCTAAATAATACCATGTCCATAGATTATTGGAAGACTCAATGTTATAAAGATATGTTATTCCCAGATTGATCTGCAGATTCAATACAAAGTCAAATATTAACAATTTGACCCTAAAATTTATATGGAACTTCTAAGCGTAGTTTCTGAAATTCATATGGAAATATTTAAGGTCAAAGAAGAAAGTAACTGGAATTATTAGCTCAAGGACAGAGGAGCAGTGAAACAGAGAATCCAGAAGCAGATCCACATGAATATAGACACTTAATTTACACTAGAGGCATCTCTGCAGAGTAATAGGAAAATGGTGGTATTGGTATGGTTGAGGATATCTATTTGAGAAAAAAATTAAACCTAACCCCTACTCTAAACCCAAGAATAAATTCCAGATGGACTAACACATTCAAATATGATAGGCAAAACAATAAAGCTTCTAATATGTGTTACATAGAATGCATTCATGACCTTGAAGTAGAGGAAAATTTCTTAAACAATGCACAAAAAACACTAGCGATATAGGAAATTATTGGACTGCATTAAAAATTAGACCTTGTGTTTATCAGAAGACTAAGTGTGTAAAGACAGCTACGGGGACTTCCCTCGTGGTCCAGTGGCCCTAGGACTCTGCACTTCCCGTGCCCGGGGGCCCGGCTTCTGTCCCCGGTCAGGGAACTCGATCCCACATGCCACAACTAAGGATCCCACATGCTTCAATGAAGATCGAAAGCACAAATAAGACCTTTGGCGCAGCCAAATAAATAAATGTTTAAAAAAAAAGACAAGCTACAGAATGGGAGAGGGCATTTGCTATAACCAAAAAACAGTTCACTTGCAGAATATATAAAAAACTACAATGATCAGTGAGGTGAGACTTGAATGAGCACTTCACAAAAGAGGATATCCAAATGGCCAATAAAAATATGAAAAGTTATTCAGCCACATTAGTCATTTTGAAAATGCAGATTAAAACCACAGTGGTGATTCTGCATACCTACCAAAGTGGCTAAAATTAAACATGAATAACACCAAATGTTGACCAGAATGTATAGCAACAGGAATGCTCATGTACTAAAGTATAAATTGATAATCCACTTTAGTGGATAATGCCAAACCATTATCCAAAGTTGAACATATACATACCTTATATCTGAGCAGTCTAACTCTCGGAATGTACTTAGCATAAATATGTGCAGCTAAGAGAAATACACCAGAATATTCATAGCAGCCGAATTAGCCAAAAATCAGCCCAGATGACCGCTGACAATGAAAAGGATAAATAGATTGTGACATATTCTTATAGTGGAATTGTATACAATAATGACAGTGAACTACAGGAGCAGGGGAAACATGGATGAATCTTAAAAACATAATGTTGAACAAGAGAAGCCAGACACAAAAATGCATTATTTGATTGTTCCAACTATATAGCATTAAAAAGAAAATTAAAATTACTGCTTGTGAATACATGCTTAAATGGTAAAACTATAAAGAAGAGCAAGAAAGTGATTCCAATAGAAGTCAAGAGAACAATTTTCTTTTGGAAGAGGGAGACTCTTAATTATTAGGAGGGGCCCAAGTAGGGGGAAATCTGTGGTGCTGGCAAGGTTCTGTTTATTGTCCTGGCTGGTTATTTGGCCATTTGTGTTTTAATAAAAAGCATTGAGTCTGTCTTTGTTTTGTGTACTTTTCCGTATGTTTATCATACTTCACAATAGAAGAGTTTTTTTTACCGAAGTTATAAGCCTACAAAAATGTAGAGATTTTTGTAGGAATTTTGGAAGCCAGGAAACAAATGAATTAGTATGACTAACTTGACTGATTCAAGAAAGCTGAAGCCTGGCTTAGTAATGTAGAATGCTGAGTTCAGCACAGAATCTTCAAAAGCAGAAGAATTGCTAGATTACACCAGTTGCTAGAATTGGGGACTTATTGAGAAGAGGGAGATGGGCCCCTAGCTAAAATAAGTAGAGCAGGTAAAAGATATTTGAAAGGCAGTTAAAGTCCTACTTGTCTTTTCTCCCAAGACCAGAGGCTAATATCTAAAATAGTACAAACCAAAGAATTTCTGGACAGGGATACAGTTGAGGGCATCGATACCTTTGCCAAAAACAGGTAAATTAAGTAATCCCACACATTCTCGGTGGTCTTCCCTGTGGCTCAAAGAATCCGCCTGCAACACAGGAGAGCCGGATTCAATCTCTGGGTCAGAAAGATTGCCCTGGAGAGGGAAATGGCTATACTCACTCCAGTATTCTTGCCTGGGAAATCCCATGGACAGAGGCACCTGGCGGGCTACAGTCCATCGGGTCACTAAGAGTCGGACACAACCGAATAGCTAACACGCACACAGGCACATGTGCACGCGTTCTCAGAACTGATACAGAAAATTCCCTAAAAAAAGACCCACCCTGATCATTCCATGTACAGAAAGCTCCAAGTCAGCAGTCAACCGCCAACCAGTTCAGAAAGCTTTCCAGTCTGTCATTCTTAACGATGAGCAGACACCAAGGATTATGGGACTTCTCTGTAGAGTCTCTGAGACAACAGCAAAAAACAACCTAAATAGATGAACTTGAGATCCTAAAGACTATATAAAATTTAAACATGGAAAAACTATAATATCTCCAGAAGGAGATGAGAAGATAATTGTGATCATGATACAAAAACATGATGCTCCATTCAGAGATGTATTCACTGTTCATTCTATCCTTTGTTCATTGTTTTCAGCATTATTTATTACACAAATAATATCTTTTTTCCTTGATGATTTTATCTTCATGATCTGTGGGGATAGAGTAAGTTGGAAAATAAGAGATGTGGATTCATTTAAAACTTTGAAGACTCCATGCAAGAAGTCTGTAATTTAATATTCTGTCATGATACCAAGGATGTCTCTTCTGAGCTGATAAAGATAATAGCCTGCTTCTCTCATTGCATTTCACTTTGATTTTGTTTTTCTCTCTCTTCCATGCAAACTTAAATTTCTCTTCCCATATTTCTATTTCCATCTCCTTGTTTCTTGGTGTCTCTTCTCCCTGAAGATCACTACATTTCAAGCTTTCAGAAAGGTATCTGAACAGAATGTGCTACGAGCTTAATACTCGCTGTCTGTCTCATCACGGTCTATTAATTAGACTTTTTTAGTTATAGTTGAATAATTTCAGACAGGCCCTCCATCCTTCCTTTCTGTTTTAATGTATATGTTTTCTCTGGCCCCTGCTGTGTGATCCTGCAGGATTTTGAGAGCTGGGTGGGTGAGGAAGGAGAGGCCACGTTTCTTAGTTTCTGACTTTTGAATGCAGCCACCTGATGCATGCCTGGATATTGACTTCTGGTGTGTGAGCTGTTTCCTAAATCTGGTATGAGAAAAGGCCACAAAGTCTTCTGTTAACTTTTTTGGTGTTTTATAAAATACCTTACCCATTATCCTTATTTGTACTGCACAGCTGTCTGTGGTTGGAAATAACTCACCAGTGTGTAAGTGAGGATGATAGAATGAAAGCAGCTCCTGCTCAATTCAGGAGAGCCAGCTATGTGCTGTGTTTCCATGTAGAAGACAACTGCTTAAGTCATCCCTTGCCATTTGGTTGACCAAGTCCTGCATCGTAAGGTGGCCCACGGCATTCTCAAGAGAAATTTTTGCTGTAGTACCGTCTTTGTTTATATGTATTTCATTCTTCACTGTGTTCTACCTTTCAGAAACACCAGTAAGCTCCTTCCTACCTTCAAAAATCTGCTCACTCTGTCCTTTCGGTGGCCCCTCCATTTTTTTACTTCATCTTTATTTTTTTCTCCTGCTCCTTAAAACTTCCTGGGTTTTTTGTTTGTTTAGACAAACTTAGGCCTTGATTTCTTTGTTTAAAACCATTTCTTTAACTTAGAGGCACTTCATCCTGCATTTTTTTTAAACCTGTTAACATATTCCTTTAGCTCACATATTGTTTGTATTCTCTAAGGAGGCACTACAGTTCGCAAGGAGATCATCAAAAATAAAATCAGAGCTATTGGGAAGATGGCACGGGTCTTTTCAATTCTTCGGTAAGGAGAAGTCTTGTCATTATGGTGTGCAATAATCATGTTTTGAGAGGGATTTAGAAGTTGATTTCAGATCGGTAGTTTTAGAATTGGAGTGTGGTATCAAAACTGTGGGTCTTTGGGTTGAATGCAGCATGAATCAGTGCTACATGTTAAAGTGACTAGAAACAATTCTGGCAAACGTTTATTTGGTGTGAGCTTAGATACAGTGCAGTGAGTGCTGGTGATTTCATTCCAGTGATTTCTGGCGCTCAGCGGCCTCTGTTCACATCCTGGCCCTGTGTCTTCTCAGCCATGTGATCTTATGCCTCATTTTCTTGGCCTGTAAAAGATAATAGCAGGATCTGCCTTTTAAGGTTATTTGGAGGATTAAAAGGCAGATCCTGCTATTATCTTTTATGCAAAGTAATATATGCAAAACATAGATTAACACCTGATTATTAAGTGGCTCTAATTGAAAAGCAGGGCCTGGCTAATTGCTTAAAGTTGAAATATTTACAGAAAACATCCCTTTTTGGGGTCAGGGCAGGGGTAGAGGAAGGAGTACCTATCCTCCATCTTTGTGCATCTTTTCTTGTCTTCTTTCAAGTATCTTTGTAGATACTGAGTGGTAGACACCCTGCCTGGCATTAACCTGGGGCTTTGATCTTCTTTTGCAGGGAAGAGAGTGAGAGCGTGCTAACTCTCAAGGGCCTGACTCCTACGGGGACACTCCCTTTGGGTGTCCTCTCAGGAGGAAAGCAGACCATTGAGACAGGTGAGTATGAGCAACGCTTCTTTCATGGAACGTGTGCTCCTGTTATCCAGCATCAGTGTCAAATTGGAAATTAAGGCTCCTTTCAGTTAGTGGCACTGAAGCAATTGAATATCCATCTCTGGAGGGGAGAAAATGGATTGATCCTTTTCGCCATGTACAAAAACTAAATCAAAATGAATTATAATTTAAATGTGAAAGATAAAAAAAAAAAAAACTTCCCAGAAAAAGATATGCAAACTATCACTGAGGAAGATAAAATTTTAAATACAGCACAAAAAGCACTAACATTAAAAGAAAAAAATTAATGAATGAGTTTCATTAAAATTAAGAACATCTGTTCACAGAAATTCATGACTAAAAAAGGGAAAAGAGAAACTGTAAACTGAGAGATTTTTGTAGTACATATGTCTGACAAAGAACTTACATTCAGAGTCTATAAAGAACTGCAACTCCATATGAAAAATATGAATGCTAATTTTTTTTAATGGTCAAAAAATTTTAACAGTGCTTTGCAAAAGAGAGTATCAAAATGACCAAAAAGCATATGAAAATTCGATGCTTAAAATAGTTACTCTTCTGGGAAATGGATATAAAACCATGGTGAGATACCACTACACATCCTCTAGAATGGCTAAAATTTAAAAGTGTGACAATATCAAGTGTTGGTGAGTTTTTGGAGAACTAGATATATTTATTGCCAGTGCATCTGTAAATTGATTCAACTACTTCAGAAAATTGTTGGGCAGTAAATCAAAACATTTGTCTACCCTATAACCAGGCAATAAAAATAACATTATGAATCTATGCAAAAGCATTATGAATACATGCAAAAAATATTCCACTTAATATTTATACAATGGAGTATTACTCAGCGATAAAGGTAACATCATGAATATATACCAAAAAATAATATGAATATATGGTTGAATCTCATGGATACCATGTTTAACTAAAAACGCTAGATACAAAAGAACACAGACTGTTTGACTTGTATGATGTTCAGGAGCAGGCAGACGAACACTTCTGGGTGGGACCAAAGTGAGGGTGTGGGGCAGGGGCTGGCAGCTCTGGCCACAGCCATGGGGTACACAGCCTCATGATGCCTTCATCATGAGGAACGTGTTCCTGGGGCTTCGTCAGCTTCCTGGAGCCCTGGTTCATCCCTGAGGGTCCCAACCAGGGAATTATCATCCCCTTGTTGGTGACCTGGTCACTGAGCTGTTGTCTCTAGTCACGAAGAGATGTAAAATCACCTCAACACCCTGACCACCTTCCTTGATGTGCCTACTTTGGCCATCCACTGCCTTAAATATTCACAGCACATTGGAACGGCTTACTCTACAATGCAGTAGTACTATTTTCCCTGTCACCTTTTTTCACCTTTTGATGAATTGTGTACCCACTTAACGTAAACTGTACAAGCTCCATAAAATGTTTGCGTACTCTACTGAGATAGAAAGACCCTAATGCTGGGAAAGATTGAAGGCAGGAGGAGAAGGGGACAACAGAGGATGAGATGGTTGGATGGCATCACCGACTCAATGGACATGAGTTTGAGCAAGCTCCAGGAGTTGGTGATGGACAGAGAAGCCTGGAGTGCTCTAGTCCATGGGGTTGCAAAGAGTCAGACACAAGTGAGTGACTGAACTGAACTGAGACAGAAAGTGCTGTTCTTGGGGGTGGGGGAGAGCTTAAAAATATTAAATAATGAAGAAAAAGAAAGGAAGTGCTCTTCTAGAAAAAAAATACAATTAAAAAATAATGAAATGAAAAAAAAAGTGCTGTTTTTCTAAGAAAAATACATGACTGTATTAAGAATACGTGACTGTGAAACCTGTGGATCTGAAGCCTGCTCCTGCCTGCTCACCACGTGAGCATCAGTGAGGGGTTTGAGAGCTGTTGCAGGACAGTGGGGCAGCCAGCAGAAGAACATGCTCAGCAGGAAGGTCTGTCCCACCAGGATTATGCCTGAGTGTATTTCAGGGTGACTTTACTTCTGCTCTCTTCTGGAATAAATTATTTTTCTGCTTTAAAAACAGCAACAACAACAACTGGCAGACTCATAAATAGTAAAAGAAGTCAAAATGGCCCCTCTGGTGGGAGAATGTGGACCCAGAAAGGGCACAGGGGACTTTGGGAGTAGGAGTCATGTTCTGTATCACTGCTGGGGTGGTAGTTACACAAGTGCATGCATATATATAAAGATGTATTAAGCAGTGCAGTTCAGATCTGTGCATAGCATGTGCCTCACTTGTGTGCATTTTATAATCTTAATTTGATGGGGGTGGGGGGGGTGGGTGGTGGTTAAAGTTCCTCAGTCAGAGAAGGAGTTTGCCTCTTTTGCCTGCAAACCATACCACAGTCACCTCTTCAACCATAATGTCAGTTCTGAAAATCATATGGGTGCTGACTTCCTAAGGAGAGGGCTTGATAGAACCCAGGAATGGAAAGGTTGATGTTTATCAAAATAAACAGATCTGGTCAAGCCGGGGGAAGAGACATGAGATCAGATCACTGGATGACAAATTCTAGGCTTGAAAACTGGAGTTGAATCATTAACAACTTAGAGTTCACTGCTTTTTTGCCCCCCCCCTCCTTTTTTTTAATTGTTTCTACTTCAGTTTTTCTTTTTTCCTCTTCTCCTATAGGAATACCTCTTATAGGAATTCTTTGTGTTTTGTGAATATTCCAAAAGGCTATTGATTCTTAGGAACAGCCTCGTTTCCCCATACTATTTATAGGATTGGTTTCCTCTTTTCTCTTTCAAATCAAGTACTGAAATATTAGAGCTTATTTATGAGGAAGAATGAATATTTTCTCCTTAGAAGTATATAATTAATTTTCTTAGCTTCTGTAGTTTCATAGGAAGAATATTGTTTCCGATTGAATTTTTCCTCTCAAATGCACAGTTTCTTGTAAGCAAAATACTTTTCCATCATTCCTTCATTGTTACTCATGTGAGATATTGCGAGCAACTCTGACAAGGCATTTTAGAGTTAATAGGAAGTAACCTGGGTAAGGGAAAAAAGGAACATCCTATACATCCTTGCTTGAAACGTTTCAAAAATTTGCTGATCCATAAAGTTGTTTTAATCTGAATCAAATTTTTATAGATCTTGATTTGAAGAAGTAAATGGGCGAATCTGGGATAAGTAACAGAATTTTATAGATGTGTTGTTTGGAGACTTGTTGTTTATAACCCTTAGTCTGCGTTTTGTTCTCAGTCCCAAATATATGCAGTTTCTCTTCATTCCTGACTTGAATATGAATGTTTTATTCAATATAAGATTGTTATTGACACAACCCACTCCAGTATTCTTGCCTGGAGAATCCCAGGGACAGAGGAGCCTGGTGGGCTGCCATGTGTGGGGTCCCACAGAGTCAGACACGACTGAAGCAACTTAGCAGCAGCATTGATACTCGAAAATTGATAAAAGCTCAGGAATGTGTCAGAACATAAGTAAAGTTGCAGCAAACTTTTCAGAGCTTCTTATTCTCTCATTGATTTGCAAGAACTGAGTTAATTTTGTCATTTTCCCATCAGAGTCTTAGTTCCACAGGTTCAGTGACAAACGCACATTAGCTGAAAAGACCTTTTGTTGTTCATATAACGTTACTTGGACAGCCTTCAGTGAACAAGGTCCCATCCCATATGGCCTTATAGCCTACGTTCATTTATACTCCACCTTATTCCAGGGGGATTTGAGTAAGTCACAGCTTGGTGGGAGAAATAAATACGCTGAGAAACTGGAGCACAAAGGAAAACAAACCAGTGAAATACAATAATCACACATTTAATTCCAGGCTTCCAAGTAGCCAAAATAAAGAAGAAAGACCGTAAGATTAAAAAAAGAAAAACAAAAACAGGTCAGTTATAAATGGCACTCCATTGAAAGTTTTAAAGTTTTGTGCTACAAGTGGAACCATTAAGAAAGTGAAAAGACAACCCATAGCATGGGTGAAAATACCGCATTGACCAAAAAGTTCCTTTGGGTGTTTTCATAGCATCTTGCAGAAAAACCCAAAGGAACTTTTTGGCCAACCCCATCTTTACAAAGCATATATTTGATAGGAGACTAGTATCTAGGAACTGTAAAGAACTCTTGTAACTGAATAACAATATGACAAATTACCCAATTAAAAATGGGTAAAAAATTTAGTAGACATTGTTCCAAAGAAGGCATACAGATAACCAATAAGTAGGTAGAAAGATGTTCCACATCATTAGACATTAACCACAATGAGACACCACTTTAATTAAAGACCCACTGGATAGTTGTGATCAAAAAGACAGACAGTAACAAGTGTTGGTGAGAATGGAGAGGAATTATGATTCTCATATACTGCTGGTGGGGATGTATAATGGAGCAGCTCTTTGAAAACCAATCAGGCAATTTCTTTGATGATTGAACATACAGTTAATCACATGACCCAGAAGTTCTATTCCTAGTTAATACCCAGAGAAATGAAGACATAGCCACACAAAAACTTGTACACAAATGTTCACAGCAGCATGCTTTGTAATAGCCGATGAGTGGAGACCACACAAATGTCTATCACCTAATGAATAGACAAACAATATGTGGTATGTCCATACAATGAACTATACTATTCAGTCCTTAAAAGGAATGATACACTGACACAGTCCTCAGCACGAATAAACCTTGAAAGCATCTTGCTATGTGAAAGAAGCCAATCACTAACACCACGTAGTGTATGAGTCCGTTTATGGACATGTCAAACAGCCAAATCTGTAGAGACAGAAAGTAGATGAATGATTGATTGTAAGGTTAGGTGAAGGAATGAGGGAGGAAGATGGTTTGTTTTGGCGGGGTGGGGAGTGATGAAAATGTTCTAACCATAGATTGTGGTAATGGCTGCACAACTCTACTTATATTAAAATCATTGAACTGGACACTTTAAACAAATGAATTTTATGGTCTATGAATTATATTTCAGTAAAGAAATTTCATTCAATAAAGAAAAGTATTTCAGTACAGGGAGAAAAAAAACAGTTCTTCAGCTTTATATGGCTCTTACTTATAAAGAATATCCCTCATGCAGGCTAATATCGTAATACCCAATGCAAAAAGCAATTCTAGGAGGACCCAAAATAATGTGATATTAGTACACATTTTACCGCAAACATAGCTTTTAAAGTCTAATTAAACCAACACTCTGTATACAATTTCAGGTAAAGCTTTGTTCTCTCACTTCCTAACAGTTGCTGTTAAAGTATCCTGTCTGAAGGCACTGTCCTTTTCTTCTGAGAGTTTTTTTGTTCTCTGTGAGGGGATTTGGGAGGATGTGGCATTGCTTTAACACATGTCAACATATGGTTGACAAGTGTAAACACTCACTTGATAAGTTGATTCCAAGTTGCCATTTTTCACATTGCATTCGGAAGTTAATTTTCAGTTCTTACAGTTTTTCCTCTATGATTGATTATAAAAAGCTTCAAGAACAGCAAACTGTTATTGTTCATTATTCTTCCCTGCCTTCTTTTAAAAAAATTAGTTTGGGGGAGCTGACAGGATTTTCCTAATAAGCTCTTTCTTGCTACAACCTGTAACCTTTTCATATACAGTAAGTCCCCTACATAAGAATAAGTTTCATTCCAAGAGCACGTTCATATGTCCAGTTTGTTTATAAGTCCAACAAAGGTAGCCTAGGTACCCAACTAATTTCACGTAATACATGAAAAACAAACTCAGAAACAAAGGAAACATTTTTCCTCTCACAGCACAGTACCTTGAAAAATACAGTATAACAGCTGGTATATAGGGGCTGGCATCGAGTGAACAGGCAAGAAGAGTTGCTGACTGGAGGAGGTGAGAGATGGCAGAACTGAAGAATCATCAATCAGTGGAAGACAAGCTGCAATTTCACTTAAACTAACTTACATGACTGAACATGACGACACATGTTCAGATCTTTGAAAGTTCTCAGCTTGAAGGTTTATATATAGGGGACTTAAACTGTCTTAAAAAACAAATGCAGGAAAGTTTACCTGTTAGTATTAATTTTTAAATAGCTTCCTTTTCCGTCACAAAGAAGAGGGCCTTCTTAGTAATTGGCCTGCTCTCTCACATGGAGAATGGAAGCCGTGTAAGTTGGATATGTCAGCCTCTGCTGTTCCTCTAATTCCAGATGGTACATGAATTTGTATTCGAAATGGAATAACTTTATGCCTTTCCCAGCTTAGTAATTCACCCCTTGGAAAAGAAAGAACTTCTCACTTATATTCCATTTTTTCTCTTCTTCCAAATGCCAGTCTGTTATTCAGAAGCTGCTCTTTAAAAAAAAAAAAACTTATTTATTTTAATTGGAGGATAGTTACTGTAGCAAAAGCCACTCTTATTAAGTAATTATAAAGGATAGCTAGACCCTATACAAGTTGCTTGAAATCATTCATAGTTTTAAATAACTTTTTCTAATAGGATGCAGCAGCAGCTCATTTAGTACCATCTGAACTATCACAAACTAAAGAACGGTTGTAATATCAGGTGATTTGACTGGACATGTCAGTATTTTGATATATGAATGTCAAGGCGTAAATTAGCAGCTGGCTATTTAAAATGAGGAAAGCAGCATTTCGTTTTTCCGAGTCAGCTTGACTGTCTTAGCCATGGATGCCATTAACTAAAAGGTTCTCATGCCACTTACAGTGTGAAAAATCCCCCACCCCCACCCCCAGTTCAGTTTTTCGCAATACTCCTCTCACTTCTCTGACTAGTTCACTTTTACTATGGATGGAAGTAGGCTCAAAGGTCGGGCCCTGGGGTGTCTGTGCTGCAGCGGTGCTGTTGGTTTACTCACTCTTTCTCTGTCTTCATTTTTGCATGCCACTGCTCCTGTCTGTTACAGCCACAGTAGAAGCGGTAGAGGCTCGGGAAGGTATGGCCGTGTTCCTACGATAGATGTGATCATGTGTCTGTCTATTAGTTCTTAAAAAAGCTCTGTCAATGTTAGACGTCTTTTATTGTTGCATCACCAGAACTGTTAACACTGAGAAAAGGGGAGGATAACTCTAGCTACCCTCACAAAGTACTGTCTTTGTGTCCTTCCTTTGTGTAATATTAACTCAAATGACCCTCTCCACAGCCAAAGTCCTTTCTGAGCTCTCTCAGTTTTAATGCAATGGCTGAAGTTTAAGCAACCAGTCATGGGGTGTTCAGATGGTGCAGTCTGATAGCCCTTCCATAGCTATGAGGTATCCATTTAATTATTGGAAATTCAAACCATCAACCTCTTTATCTAATGATTCTGAAACATATCAAAAGTGGAGGCAAGAGTAGATAGGAATGCAGTCTGATTTGTTTCTGAGGTTGCCCTCAGTCAGCCAAGCTAAATTACACAAATTTTAAGTAACAAATTATCTACGAATCCGAGGCTGAAAATCATCACAATCGATAAACTTGTGTTATAAATTTAATTGTTCTGTTAGAGAAGGTGGTTCACACTAGGAATGCCTTTCCTTGGTGATACAGAAGTTCAGACGGAAAGAAAATACCTGGAAACTATTTTTTTTAGATGGTTTTTAACTTAGGTTCAGCTCCTGGTTTTGCAAGATTAAAAAAAAAAAAAAGCTATCCTAAACAAACGGATTAGCTCTTTTGTTACTTTTTTGTGTGGTCAGTGTGATGTTTGTGTTAGAGTAACTAGTCTGCTTCACTTGTTCTCTTATTCTAGTGTTGCCTTCTTTCCTTTCTCTGAGCACGTTTCTGGCCCGTAAGAGACTCTTTCAGAGATATTGGGGGCTTTTTGTCAGGTCCACTTCTGCTGTGATGAACTGAACTATGAAAATTACTTTCACAGTTTCAGTGGCCCTTTGGGCCTTAAGAAAACAATAGCTTCAGACCAGGCTAACTGAAATCAAATATTGCTCATCGCCTTCACCAGACATGTGCTCCACAGTCCCCCTTCTGTATTTTCCTCTCGTAGCTTGCTGGATGCTAAGAAACCTAAACGATGTCTAATGGAGCGCCTCCCTTTCCTCTTTCCCTGTAGCCATCAGAGGGTTTTCGCTTCAGCACAGGATCCGGAGTTTTGAAGAAGCCCGAGGTCTGGACCGAATTAATGAGCGGATGCCACCCCGCAAAGATAGCCAGTACTTTGATGGGCCGGTGAAACTGGTCCAAGCCAACGCTACGCACAGGAGCGACAAGGGAAGAAGAGCCAGTAATGACTCAGAGTCCTGCAGTGGCACTGGTGGATCCAAGACCTAATCGTCCATGTTATTTATTTATTATCGGAAAGCTAAACACAAACAACTTAAACAACTTAAACCTGGAGGTGCATTCAAAATACACTCTGCATTTACTCTGTAAGAAACGTGACCCTTTTATAAATTCTTTTAATTTATGTTTAATATATATGTAAAATGCATCTGTTTTGTTTTTCCTTTTCCCCCCCCCCTCTAATTTTTAGGAACTGATCTGATTGTCTGACACATAGTGAAGTCGTGTGTTATAAAGGGGACTGTCCCCAAATAAAAGGGCCTTGGAAACCTCTTCCCTGGCTTTCTGACTTGAACTAGTCAGCCTTTTCTCTTGTTTTTGGAGGTAGTATTGTTCATTTCAGACTAATCATTTTGCAAACACAAAAGGGTGTTTTCTTTTTCCTTTTCTACAGGGTACCACTGAAAAATATCTCTTAGATTTCAGTGGCTAAAACTTCTCTTCTTATGGAAAACTTGATTATAGTAGAACTCCTCAGTGAATAACCCAAACCCAGTGATTTTAAGGGCCAAGGGAAATGCTTTCCATAATAACCTACTCTCTTCTGGACTCTCAATTACTCTTAATGTATCCTGGTATGGCAAAATAAAAAATAATGAGGGATTTTTTGTAGAATGACTTAAAATTTATTCATCTAACCATGAGCGTGATTGGTTTAAACTTCCCTTTGAACTTTGGAGATTTCTTAACTGTTGCCAGATTCTTTTGCTTTTGTTTTTGAACCCTAGGTAATTTACCTCATCTGCAAAGGAAGTGATATTTCTAAATACTGTATAAATGCCCTCTGTAGAGCCTCCGACAGTCACGCCCTTCTGTGTCACCGCATCGGCTCTCACGTCTCTTCTTCCTGTCTTCCATCTGTTTTTCTGTGTCGACATTTTTTAAACCAACTGGGGCCCCTAGAGGAAGGCATGGCAAGCCACTCCAGTGTTCTTGCCTAGAGGACCTCATGGGCAGAGGAGCCTGGTGGGCTACAGTCCATGGGGTTGCAGAGAGCCGGACACGACTGAAGCGATTCAACATGCGCACACAGGGTCATGGAAACTGACTAGGTTAAAATGGTCCCCTTGCGAACTGGAAGTCTTGCTGAAGGGCATTGGGCGAGTGATATTATGATCTCCTGTCTGTCAAATACTGGGATGTTCCTCCATTTTTCAGCACTCATTAGGTTGAACTGTGTATTATTAGTCTCTGTTGGGTATTTTAGAATATAAAGACAAGTGTTCAGATATAATATTTGAATAATCTTCCCTGAGTTTTTCAGGTCACAACCAACTAGTGAAGAAAGTTTGAGGGATCCTTAGGCTCCCATTTTTGGTTTAGCCTGGTGACAGGTGCCATGTTATAATAACTCACTGGTCAGCCTTGTAATGAATGTACATGTCTGGGCGACACTGTGCCAAAGTGCATATTTGTAGAATTCCTTCATGTCATTTGGGATGTAGAAGCCCAGCCTTGAAACATGTATCCCAGTACTTTATGTTTGGAGCTTCAAGGACACCAGAAAACATTTTTCAAAAAATACAACTTCAGGGAATTCCCTGGTTGACCAGTAGTTACAACTCCTCCACACTTTCACTGCTGAGGGCCTGAGGTTCAATTCCTGGTCAGGAAACTGAACTCCCACAAGCCATATGGTGTGGCTCAAAAAAGAAACAAAAACAGCAAACAAAACCACGTAATTTCGTAAGGAGAATGAGGATTTAGCCCACCTATCTCTGTTTTCCTATACCTTGCTAACAGTTCCCACTTTGTGTATGACAGAAATCAAAGTATTTTGGAGATTGGAACCTGGTGGCATAGATTGCTCTCTTAACAAAAAAGATAGGAGGGATATTGGGAAGAGGAGAAAAGATCTTTTGGGGTTGTGAGTAAAACTTCTGAAAGGAGGGAGAGTCTCCAGTAGCTGTCTTTACTGATCATCATTTCTTTACAATCAGAGGAATTCATCCCCTAGATGTCCCCATACTCCTCTCTACCCCAGTCCTAACAGGGAAGGGACCTCCAGTTTGGAAATCTCATGCAACGCTGACCATCAGTTCACAAGTTTGATGGATGGGTGTCCCTGATCCCATTCTCTTGTCCATCGAGGCTATTGTTACACATACACGGTCCACAGGTAGAAACCTTGGGCTTCGATCATAAGGGCTTCAGTCAAGAGGCAAATAGTGAAGTAGTTACTTTAAATCCTGATAAACAAAAAATTATATATTAGTTTTTAAAAAAAGAAGTTACTTAGTAAGGTCTTCATTTTCTTCTCAAAACGAAGTAGTATGATAAGGCAATTTTCCTTGACAGAGCCGAGTGAAAAGATGGATTTTTACAGGTACCCTTGAGCTGTTGAAGTACCAGCTGAAAGTTAAGTGGTCGCAATTCAAGAAAATTGGAAGGGGTTTAAAAGAGCAACAGCTCTTATAGGAAGTTGGGTTTGAAAATCCTGTTGAATGCTAGAGGTAAAAGCATTTCTTATGTTCTGTGGAAAGCTGGGGTATATACTTCAGTGCTTTAGAAGGTTGCGCGGTGAGTGTAATACAGTGCGTGCGTGCATGCGTGCTATGTCACTTCAGTTGTGTCTGACTCTGTGCAACCCCATGAACTGTATGTAGCCCACCAGGCTCCTCCGTCCATGGGATTTCCCAGGTAAGAACACTGGAATGGGTGGCCATTAAAACCAGACCACAATCAGTGTACCTGTATGGGCATTTGCACCTGTGATTCAAGACAGTTTAGATGTGAGCCTTAGGAATATATTGTAGTAACAGTCCTTGTTCTTCCCTGTAGACTTCATTGGAGGATTGTAACCTATTTTTTAATGTTTTAATCTAAACAACAGCTCCCAGGAGAGCTGGTGGCCTGCCCTTGGTTTGCCATAGGATACCTGGGGCCTGATGGTTTGCCTGGAGTCATCATTTCAAACGTTTTAATGCTGTCAGTGCCCTGCAGTGTCGCTGTTTGGAGAACCTCTCTTGTCTTTACTAAATCTTTCCTCTGAATGTTTGCTCTAAAGATACTAGAAATACTTTTCTCTTGTTCTCCTTCACTTTAAAGTTCACGGGGACCTTATTCAACTCTTCTCATGGTGGGGGCAGCGGTGGGGCACTTCTTACATCATTTCTCTAGAGGGCTTCTTTGTGAACTTTTCTGAAATAACCATTTTTGAAATGACACTTCCCAAAGCTCAGTTTTCCCAATTTTGTTTACATCCACGTCATACGAAATTTCAGATTAATCAGTTGACAGTTCTCATTAATCAAAATTTCCGAACTCATCTAATACAAGTTCAAAACATACATCCTTTTTTAATTTCTGTGTCTTGAATATTTAGAGCAAAAGCAAAACAAATAAACTGTGTGTGTGAAGAATGCTAAAACAAAAACAGTGTGTTTTCTTCAAAACCTTAGGTTACGGGTATAGACATTGCTAATTCACTGGGCTTTTTTGACTAGATATTGACCGGCAAAGCGAAAATGGCTTATCACACCAATGGACATGATTTGCCTTCTTGCCTAAGACAGAAGCATCAGACTCTCCAGGAATATCAGTGTTTTTCATATCTTTTAATTTATGTTTACATAGCCTTTTCTGTTCCTACAGAACAGATACAGTTCCATGAAACAAGTTATTAATAGCAAAGATTCGCTTTCTTATCCTGGTAACAGGATAACTGATTTCATGACACTATTCAAAATAGGGCTTCCCTGGTGGCTCAGATGGTAAAGAATCCATCTGCAACGCAAGATACATGGATTTGATCCCTGGGTCGGGAAGATCCCCTGGAGAAGGGCATGACAACCCACTCCAGTATTCTCGCCTGGGAAGTCCCATGGACAGAGGAGCCTGGTGCGCTTCAGCCCATGGGGTCTCAGGTTCGGACATGATTGAGTGACTAACACACATTCAAAATAGGAAAAGAAATGCTCTTGTTTTATAAACAGAATGTCATTATTTAATATCCTTATGGAGCAAGGGTGGGATTCCTTAGAATTGGATAACTTGGGACCTTGGCATTGTCCCTTAGGTCCTCTTCTGAGTAATTTTAACACACAAAGTTTGAGGTGGCTGCTCTCTGTAAGAAAAATATTATAAACCATGCCTACATGAGATACAGCTGGATTCACTGCTCATGGTCATTACTCAAGAGTCTCTCTAGCCTCAGAGTAAGTAAGGTTGAAATCTGTTCCCTCTACTCTCCCTTGTTTTATGTAAATATTGTTGCTGATCTCCAGAATTTTCGATTGTACCATACCTATACATATAAAACTCAAGCTCTTGAGAATTAAGTTCATCCTGACCACTCTGGGCGACCAGGCAGTTAAAATGTTTTAGAACAATCTTGTTACTGGATTGACTGATTCATAGTTTTTCTCTATATTAATTATCAGGGGTGGTTTTTTTTCCCCTCTCATTTTTGTATTGAAAATATTTTCGCACCCATAAAGACTTGCTGAGATATCATTCTAGAATCTCCAACATTTATCGTAGTTGTTATAGTAACTGTGGAACCCAAGTGTTTTCAGAGCATTGTTCAGCTTTCCATATCCCGGCAGAAAAGACCAGAGGGAAGGTGAACCCAGAGCCCGGGTTGTGGGAGTGAGGCTCCAATTTCCTAAATCATTTGTGATTATAAACATGGATTTCCACCTTGCCTGGCACCCAAGTCTACAGCTTTTCTGAAATCTGCTATACGAGAGAGTAAAGGGCAGGCTAGGGGAACCCAACAATAGCTGGAGGAGGGTTTTTATTACCTGGAGGATAGCACTGAAGCACTGACATGCCACCGTCCCTCTTCAGCTCTGCTGTGATCAAAGGCTCCTAGGAAAGTCGTAAGAAAGAGCAGATGCGTGTAGGGGAAGAAAGTTGTATAGTCGAAAAACAGGGTTATTCCTCTTGAGTCCAGCAGAGAACTGTATTCAGAGGAGAGCTCTGTGCCATTGACAAGAGTGCGAAAGAGGAAGCCTACATGACTTTGAGACTTGTGACCTGACCTG